AGTACGCAGTTAAATACTGGAATAAAAATACTGTACTGTACTAAACCTGGCCGTGAAAATGATAGAAAGAAAGACCAGCTACCGCACCAAACGAGAAAGAGCGTCGAGGAGACCGATCAAAATATAATAAAAGGAGAACGGGGAACGCTTCCCACACCCGCCNGGTAAACAACACGTTTTCCAACACGTCTGTACGTTTTTACCCATCCACGCCCCGTCATGGGCCACCCGCTCTAAACTCCAAGCACATAGAACTGGGTCACCCGAATCATCGATCAGGAACCTGGGGGCCGTTGGGAAGGGAACGGGGTACGATGCTATCGAATGGCCGTGTGCGTGGCAGACTTTCCCTCGTTGTTGCCCTTGTTGCCATGTTCATCACCCAAGCGGATAGCTCAGGCTGAGTCGAGAGGTAGGGGCACCGAGAAAAGAGTATCGGGGGTACACGGGTGTGTGATAGAGTGTTCTCCTTTTCAGGTACTTGTGCTCGTCCACCAGCAAGAAGCACGCCAGATACAGTAGAACGTAGTGTTGGTTGAGTTCAGCTAAAAAAGTAGGCAGTTGATATTGCGCCACGCACCTCTCTCACCGTCACAATCATCAAGCGAGCGATTCAGGCAACTCGGATGTTGCCGTCAGGCGGTGCGGACGTCGCTCCATCGCCCATGGGTTCCCCATCTATCGCGAGAATCGTAGTGATGTTGCCTGCGACGAAACATCCCATTCACCATTGCATGCATTTACGATTTTCCTAGCCGATGCATATTCGCCTGCTGTGCACCGGCAAGAAACAAGAACGTGCCGATACGTCAGCGATCGTCCCTCTACACAGCCCTTGTCATGCTAAGCGTGTCCAGCCATTCGCCAGCCTGTTCCAATCTGCGTTCATGACAGAAGAAGCATTGGGCTGGTGCCAGGGGGGCGATTATCGGCAAGGGGGTGTAGTCGTTGCCCAAGTTAACCCGCGCATGGAGAGAGGTGGTATTTGGAGGTCGTACGTGCTGGGCGGATCTGTGCGTTAGGAGAAGCCAAGGACAATTGAAACAGCTACATCCTTCATGGCTTCGTATCTCATGGTGCGTCTCTTTGCCCTCATCGCTCGAGACCGCCAAGACCATGATCGTCTGGTTAAACTCATTGTCACATCACACCAAACGAGAACAGTACACGCCACCTTGCTTGTACCCGAAGGTATCCGGTGTCACAGCGGTACACTAGATGTGACCCCGGTTGGGTCGTCTAGCTAGTAGAAGTGGAGGATAGGGGCCAGAGGGGCAGACGACAGAGTCCAATGATGGGAGAAAAAACAAAAAACAAAAACAAAAAACTAGACAGCCGCACGAGAGCAGTCATGGGAGGAAACAATATGACTAATTGCCTGCGGCCTAAACAGCATGCCAAAACCCTGGACCAAAGGGTATTTACATTTGACACCGCCCGCTTCACCACGCACTCTTTGCCAAGTCTCCTTCCCGGATGAAACAAAGGAAACCAGGAACCCCGTGAGGTCAAACAGCGAACGGCAACACAAGCCAAACGCCAAAAAAACAAAAGTCACAACTCGAAAATGTAATATTGGATACGGACCGACGTCTATAACAATAGCATAAATAGGATGAAAAAAAACAAATGAGTGAAAGACAGTCCTCCAAGATCAACAATCAGAACCAAAAAGACACACTCATGCAATTAAGCAACGACGAGAACCCGACAAACCGCTCCGTCCTGGTGTTGTAGGGGTGCGAGGTTAAAGGAAACGACTGCGGCATGCGTGCACATCATATTGTACACCCCGGGCAAGCAGGGACGACGAACGGACCACCGCACCGTCATCGCGGCAAGACTACCACCTCCACGCCGGTGGCGCGCAGAGCGGCGGCCGCGGCCGCGGAGACTCCCTCGCAGAACGCGATGTGCACGGCCTCCAGGTGCGCGCAAACTCTCGACAGGGTCAAGAGGGTCGCGTCGGTGATGCCCTCGCACCACACCGCTTCCACCTGGCGTGGTGTGGCGCGCAAAAGGCGCACGAAAACACAAATGCAGCAAGGGTTGGCGCGGGGCAAACGGACACAGTTCGGTGCGAGTCCAGTCAGGAAGGCTCCTTCTTGCCATCGAGCCTCCCGCTTTCATGTGCAAAAAGAAGGAGGGACGACAAATGGATGGATGAGCACCAGAAGACAGAAAACTGCACTGCAACCGAAGTAGGGCGACAAGCGATTCTTCCCAGTGAAGCACACACACAAGCGGAAGAGAGCCAGGGGAAAGAGAGAGACACAAAGTGCCAGACAAACACAGAGGCAACTTTTGAATGTACCGGGACAGAGTGTTTTTAAATTGATTACGCGGGCGAAGCCCGCCAACATGCGATGAAACCAATTCATCTGCGGGACACAGCGGGACACACGCTTTCAAAATGTTGCACCTCACTCAATGAATTAATGAAGAAAAGGAGACGCCAGAGCAGAGGTGCGGTCACCGGGGCAGCAAAGAAATCACCGTGCATGTATTCTGTCATGCGGGTTGTCAACATACCGACGCATCGGGATGAATTGATGGCGATTGCTTTGGGTGGGGGTGTTAACTCCAAAGAACCTGCAGATTGATGGAGTCAAGAGATCGAAAATAACAACGCGGAGGTGCCAGAGCATCATCATCACGATACTTCAAGTGTTCTGGCGAGAGGACGGGCGTGCAGATGATACATTATGCATGGATCCCTGGGTGTGGGCACTACCGCTGTGCGTGTGTATGAGTGCGTGTGTGTTTGAGCGATCTCCCTATATCTCCTCGCTGTATTGTAGTTCTTCTGGCGGGTGCTGCTGCGTGCTCGTCATCGACACTCAGCGTGGACTGACATTGCGAAACTTCGTGCACACAGAGCAGAGTGGTCTGTCTCTGCTGGTGGTGGCGTCTGGTATGCGCCAGTTGCTGCGCCCAGGCTCCCGCCTGATGAGTGTCGGCCTCTGAACTAGTTGGTTCGAATGCGGTGCGCGCAGAATAAAAAGCGACGTAATTGCGAAAATTATTCGAAAATAGACAAGACGCCAAGTAGGCGCCAAGTTAAATGGAGACAGCTGATTTGTGGACGCCAAGTTTCATCTGTCCCGGTGGCTTTTTTTGCTACCAACACAGAGAGAGAGACACACACTAAGACTGACGTCTTTTCATTGGTCAGCCGGTTAGCGCGGTCGATGCTCGAATAAAAGACACACACACAGAAGAACTAACCTCCTCAAGCCCCGGACATCCCTCCGCGAGCCGCTCGAAACCCCGGTCTGTCACACCTCCGCACCACGACACATCCAACCACTCCAGCGACGGGCAGCTCACGGACAACGCCTCCAGAGCGCTGTCGGTGATCTGCAACACCGCAACAGGCAACGAAGACAGGGCAAAACGCAACATGAGGTCGTGGGTGGGTGGGTGGGTGGGTGGATGAGTTGGAGGGGCACAATCAAAGGCGCGCGGCAATGTCCGTGCCTATCTATAACGGCGGTTAAAGGCGACTCGCAAAGCTCTTTCATTTCGTCGGTGGTGTCGGAACAGCCAAAAATCTTCGCGATTGGGGCCAGGGTGAGGGTGGTAGCAACGTCAGGTTCTAGAGAGTCGGAATGTCCAGAAAAGGGGCCACTGGTGCTGGTGCTGAAGCTACTATTTTTCGAGGGATAACTGTCCGGGGGTGCATAGGTCGATGTTGGCACCCGCTGATTCCGGTCGGGAGAGCCGGGACTAGGGACAAAAGTCCGGACCGCTTAGAGGGAGAGGGGGCGTGGCATTTCCTACGAAGGTCTTTCTGTCCCTCCCCGTTCCGGGACTATGCACGAGTACAGAGGCGTGCTTGGCGGGGTCCAGGTCATGCCGCCACAATCTTGGGTCAACCTTATATTTGTGAAAACGTCAACTCTTCTTCAGCAATCCGACTACTACTGTGACGAGACGCGACAGTCGTAGAAAAACAAAGTTTCGGCCAAATCCTCGCTACATGCACAACAACGATTACGCCGCCGACTTGTACGCGCGCGCCCAGCGTACCTGCCCGCAGTTCCTGAGGCTCAGGGCCCTAAGCCCTCGGCAGCCTGCAGACAGGGCGGCGACCCCGGCGTCCGTCACTCCGAGGCAGTGCTCCAAGTGCAACCCCTCCAGTGCCGGGAAGGCTCCGGCCACCCTGCCCATACAACCAGGGGGGAAGTTGGATTTCAGATATTGTGCCTAGCCTCTGTATTCGGGCCCAACGCACTCGGTGGGGGGGAGGGGCGGGGCGTACTCTGATGTTTTTAGCGGTTAGACCATTGACCACGCGCCCTCGAGAGGACGGAGCATTGTTCCCACAGGACCGATCACCGATGGCCAATCGTTATCTTGTTACATGGAGCCGGCGGTAAGGCCGAACGAGGGTTCGTCGCGGACAGGACACCAATGAGGATGGCTACCTCATTACCCTTCGTTGCTGCGAATGCACGTCAGCCTTCACATGCATATACCGTGCACATTTAGATTACACAAAAAACATGTATGCATGCCTACGTCTGGAAACATACATACTGTACCTGGCGAGCGCGAGGTCCGTGACTCCCCCGCAACGGCCTAGGTTGAGGTGCCGCAGCGAGGGCAGCGACGAAGACGACGACATTGGCGCCACCGGGACCGTGACGGTGACGCCACCACCAGCGGCGCAAGCAGCAGCGGCAGCAGCAGCAGCAGCAGCAGCAGTAGCAGACGGCAGAAACGGTGGTCCACCATAGTCCGGCTGATGCCGCTGCCGCTCATCCTGCATCCCAAATCTCCCTTCCCCCACTGCTGCTGCTGCTGCTGCTGCTGCTGCTGCAGCAGCCGCCGCTGCCGCTGCTTCCGCGGCGTTGCCGTGGAGGTCCTGGGGTTGCGGCGAGACCACGCGTGATGCAGAGAGAGGAGGCTCTTCGTTCGGCGGGCCGCCCGTGGCGCTCGACGGAGCGACGGCCACGCCCATGTCCATCGCGGGCAAGCCCTGTCGGCGGGAGCATAAAGCGCGCACGGCCCGGGGGGCGACGGCACGAGGAGGGGACGGCGGGGGGGGG